GGAGAGACGAGAAGGAGGAGAGAGAGAAGGAGAAGGGGAGGGAGGAGTGAGGGAGAGAGACGATGGAGAGTGTAGTGTTAGGAGAAAAGAGACAGTTGTGAGCGAGTATGTGTGTTGTGTGTGTGTGTGTGGTGGGTGTGTTGTGTGTGTGATTGTCTGTGTGTTGTGTGGTGTGTGTGTGTGTGTGTGTGTGTGTGTGTGTGTGTGTGTGTCTGTGTGTGTATTGTGTGTGTGTGTGTGTGTGTGTGTGGATGGTGTGTGTGTGTGATGTGTGTGTGTGTGTGTGTGTGTGTGGTGGTGTGTGTTAGAACAGCATAGAAAAGAGAGAGAGGGGAGGGAGGAGTATGAAGTAGATAGATAGAGAGAGAGAGACAGAGACGGGGGAGAGAAAGGAGGGTGGCAGGAAGAGGATAAGAAGGAGGGGGAGGGGAAAGGTGGGATGAGGCGTTTCCGGCGGCAGTCAAAAATACTCGTCGAAGCGATTAGGAAGAAAAAAAAAAAAAAAAAACAAAAATAAAAAAAAATTGGCGAGTCTAACTTCGTCCGCTTTACAGTGAATTCACTGCTTGCGTTCATTAATAAGCCTCTAAACTCTATGACTGACAAGCAATACAACAATTATTTGTTATAGGAAGAATCCTCTAATGAATAATAGGTTCATGAGGAGAGCGTATATGCGTATGTCGTGTTTTGTCATAGCATGCTAGCAGAACAGGTTGGCTATACGGCGAGTCACTGTTCGACAATTGTACGATATTTTACAATAGCGAGGGTTGGTACTTGTCTAGCGTATCCTTATTCGACATTAGGCACATGGTAAAGAAATAATAAAGAGATGTCGTTAAAATAATATTAAAATAATTCTATTAAGTAATAGTTTTTTTTTATTGTCGCATGTGTATACTCGGCATACCGATATATATATTTATATAGTTTATATATATATCATATATATATATATATATTATATATATATATAATAGTGACACTATACGTATGACGTAGTTAATGATAATAAGTCGGGTGGAAGTCTAGATGAAAGGGACATCAGAATTGGTTTATTCTATACCTCGTGTCAATTATGCGAGGGTCCACATTAGTTTTAATGATCGTTTCATTATTTTTCACCGGTGGCGACATGATGAGAAGTGTTTCTATGAGATTCGTCAGTTACTGGTCGTTGCTGATTCCGCGTTTTTCCCTGGAACGTGACAGCGCGCGAGAGAGAGATAGAGAGCGTGAAAGAGAAAAGAGAGAGGCAGAGAGAGAGACGAGGAGAGAGGAGATGGCGAGAGAGACGAGAGGCGAGAGAGAGAGAGAGAAAGTGAAAGAGAGAGAGAGAGAGAAAAGGAGAGAGGGAGAGAGAGAGGCGCGCGCGAGCGAGAGAGGGAGAGAGAGAGAGAGGAGGAAGCAGAGGCGAGAGAGAGAGAGAGAGAGAGACGAGAGAGAGAGAGAGAGAGAAAGAGCAGAGAGAGACAGGGAAGAGAGAGAGAGAGAGGAGGAGAGAGTGAGAGAAAGAGAGAGAAGAGAGAGAGAAAGAGAGAGAGAGACGAGAGAGAGTCAGAGAACGTTGGTTACGACATGCTCAAGTACTGTAATTGCTGCCGGGTTTATTGTTGAGTAATAGTCCGAAGGATTCTGGGGGTCGGCGTGCTCTGACCGTTGTCCAGCTCACGAGTTCCTTCCGCGAGTATAGTGATGGAATCGCGAGGAGACAATGAAAGCGAACAAACATGGCCGCTATAGCAGCTGCGGCGGTTTGTCGAGAGGCGTACAGCGCGGCGGCGGTTATATGTGAAGTTATCCTCGATTCAATAGCAATTCTCCATCTCTACTCCTTATTCTCTCCCCATCTATCTTCTCTCTCCCCTCTCACTGACTCTTTTTTTCCCTCTCTCTCTCTCTCTCTCGGTCTCTCTCTCCTCTTCTCCTGCTCTTCTCTCTCTTGCTCGCTTTTCTCTGATTTCTCCTCTCTTCTCTGCTCTCTGTCTCTCTTCCCTCTTCTCTTCTCTTCTCTTTTTCTTTTTTCTCGAACCTCTCGCGCTGCGAGTTCATCCAAGGCGTTCCCGCGATGCGGCGGTGCTGTGCGTGGCTGTGCCGTGCGTGCGTGCGTGCGTGGTGGTGTGTGTGCAGATGTGTTATCTCGCCGCGCGCCGCGCCATCTCGGTTAATAACGCCATTCGGCTTATCGTTACATGTAAAATGGGATATGCGCGCGCGCCCATTTCTGAATGGGCAATGATTACCATTAGACGGCGCACTTGAACGCTACTGGTGAGCGGAGATGTTTGCGGAGGACGCTATCGCGACGATGGTGATGGTATCGTCATTGTGTCACTGGAGAGGCGAGTCTGCGATAGCGTCTCTCGGAACCGTTTCTAGCGTAATGAATGCAGGGAGAAAGAAGAAGAGAATTGTTCGCTCGCCTCTAGCTGCTGCTGCTGCCAGTTATTGACGCGTTTCGTGTTATTACAAAATTCTTCTGCGATTCACTGCGGACTCTCGCTCTCTCTCTTCGCTCTCTCTTCTCTCTTCTCTCGGGTGTTCTCTCTCTCTTCCTCTCGCTTTCTCCTCTCTCTTTCAGTCTGTTGTCTTTGCTCTCCCTTTTCTTCGTCGGGCCTTTCCTTGCCGTCACAGCCGCGATGGGCATCATGACACCATATCACAGAATTGAGAATACAATAAGGATATGTTTGAGACTCGATACGCGCACGTGACGTCCAGACCGTCATGCTGATTTAATATACAAGTAACGTCAGAGGATATCGTCTGCGATTCTATGGCCCGCGTGACGTCACCCAGCAAGCCTTTGTTAGAACCACCGTTTAGCACTAAGTATGTCTGCTACTGATAACAGGTGTTCTGGTTTTTAATATGATATGATGTCGAAATACGGGCGTGAGGAAAGGCTCGCAATAAATACGGGAATAATAATGTATAGAGGCATCGGGAAGCACAGGTATAGCGTATGTCTTTCAAACAACGGCGGGAAAAACAAACGTTATCTCGCATTACCGATCCCGCATCTTGTTAGTTTGGCCATCGCTTAAATTACTATACGTAATGAGCCAAAATGTGCGTAACCAACGACGTTCTGATCACGTGATTATAAGCGTCTATACATTCATTGTACCCGATGTGAACACCATTTTGACTAAGTCTATTTGATAGTCTGTCGATAGCATTTTGGTACGTGTCTAGAAAAAATTTTATTTAATGAAAGATAGCAGACAGCTGCTACTAGCTTGGCGAGTTAACAGAGGGACATGTCTGAAATATCAATATACAGTCGTCTGCTTTCAAACTAGGCAACAAGAGTTCATGAATAGCGTTTAATCAGTGTGTAACGAAGTTGCAACCTTTTTATAGCATTGAGTTTTTTTAGATTATTCGCGGATCAAATGGGCATTGTCGAAAAAGTCATAAGCATTTTCACTTGCAAGTAGTTTTTCTTTCTCAGAAGGAAATGTTATCGCCGCGACAGTATTATAATAGAGTAGTATATAAACCGAACGCCGGACAGAATTTCTTAAATGCGTGTGTTGCTGAAGTGCGCTCGGCGTTGCGGCAGCGTAGTATAAAAGTATAGAGTAGTATAAATACAATTCACAATATATATATCTAGTATGGAGAATTTCTATTCGGCATCTATTATGTTTCACCGATTCCGTAAGCTCCGCGAGAAAACTCCTTGCCAAGGAAATTATTAATCGAATAAGTCATGATGAAAATCTAGGTGTCGCGATAGATACTGTCGCTAATAATCTTTCTTGGCTTGCTCAACATAAGAGGGTAAGCGTTGAAAGCTCTCAGGGACCACACACTCTGGACAGCTGTGTTCGACAGTGGGGCGATATTAAACATGAGAAGGTACATTGATACTTATACGCGACATTTGAATAGAACATTTCGCTTCAGATTTTGATTTGCTCTGTGCCTGAGCCCAAAATACTGCGTAACTCGCCGTGCATAGTTTATCGGGAACGAAAGCACGTGAAATATCACACCGCGAGATTATAACTGTTGAAGATAGATGCAATGAGATAAGGTCAATTATACCAGATGACACAGACAGATATGCTTCAGAGAGAAGGAGTCCTGATATCAAACCACGACGGAGAGATACTCAACGTTAACTCCGTTAACGAGGACGTAAGCATCTAAGGGTGATGGGCAAGCGACAGATGCACCTAGACTCTGATAACAAAAAAAAATTAGCGTAGGCGCAATAAATTGCAAGTACCAAATATAAAACTAATAAATTAATGACCAAAATAAGTACAAAAAAAATCATTCTTCAACCTAACGTTATTTTACATGTATTTTTAGCTATTTAAAAAGAATTACGCTTCTTTCCGTGATATTTGCTCGCTATCTCTGCGTTGCGGCGAGGAAAACTCACGGAGAGGTTTATAATCAAACATGGCGCCGCACGACTGAAGCAGCGCGACGCGTGAAGCCGCGCGCGATGATAAACATAATTACGTATCGTCATCAGTTGGCGTCACTCACATGTTTGTGTTAGCAACGGGCGTCAGCCATTCTCCTGCTAAACTCACGCTGTCGCAGACGCGGACGGGGGGAACAGCTGCGTTGAAGTAATCGTGGTGACGCTGAAGAATCAGAACGCTTGCGAGTGTTTTGCATCGCGCGCGTTCGAAGAGAAATAGTCGCGCGAGCGCTAAAAGCTAAATTAGTGTAAATGTAGACTAAAACGAATGACTAAAGTGGCGCATAGGAAATACATGACATAAGATGGTTTGTTTTATGAATTAAATAAATAATAAATGGTGGTGCTAGCATTATCAGGATAATAAGATAAAAGTACGCGTCAGCTGACATGTGCTAGTAAATGTGAAAATGGCGTGAGTTTTTAAGCAAGGTTAATTTATTTAAAAAATTGAGTTTAAATGTTAAATATGTAAGGCGTTACATCGACGAAGCTAACCAACACAGCTGTGAGTAAGCACATGATACGAGACTGTCAGGGCCGGTAACTTTATGATCTCGGCCTTAAAGACGCGACTAACAGTCGATGCTTTAATATGCATGTATAGATTAGTCTATAAATGCCCCGCACCACACACGCACGCACACAACACACACACACACCACACACACCCCCCACACAGCACACGCACGCACGCACCGCACGCACGCGAGCACGCCCACCAGCACCACCCCACCACTACACGCACACGCACGCAACGCAGCACGCACGACACGCGCAGCGCCCCACACACACACACACACACACCACACACAACACACACCACACACCACACCACACGAAGAAGCCCTTAGGTGTGTATAGCATAGTATCTCTATTCAATCCGAGTTTATTTAAACAGATTTATTTCACCGATGTCATTATAATTACGTATTATCTCCGCATTATTACGCCATACGATTAATTAATATACATATAGCGCCGGTAGATATAATATATAATATATATATATTATACTTATATATATATATATATATATATATGGGACGCGCAAACGCCGTGTGTGTTACAAGTAGGAAGTCATTAGGTGGCTCTATGTGAGAGCATCCGCGGGGGTTGCCCCCCACCCCTCCACATCCATGCCATCAGTCGTAATGCCAGGCGGACTGCCAGTGATATTACCACTGCTGTCCAAGTAACCAAGTGCCGGCAAATTGACGTTGGCTATGGATCCAATGCGCGTGTAAACAGGGGATTATGAAGGGCGGAGTATCTGTCGGTGCAATGCGACCGTCAGCATGAAGGTATTACGTGCCTTCAGGCGCAGACGCGCGTGTGCGAGTTTCACGAACCCGCCACGTATCGTATATTTGCGGCTACTGCTAAATACTGCTGGCCGCCCGCCTACACTCGCTGCTGTCGGTGTATTTCCCGTAATTAAATTTGAACTTTCTTTTCAATATCGCGGGCATCGGACGAGGCAAATATTTGACTAGCACTTAATTTCAATAAAATGACCAAATACTCGCACCACGGCCGACGCTGCGCCGACGTCGCCGAACATATGTCGGTTATCCGACGATCGATGGAACTTTCGACGGATGCCTTTTGTGTGACTGTGCGGCTATTGCGCTATGCGCTATAGAAAGCCGTTTGTCCACACGCGCGCGAGTGAGAGAGAGAGAGCGTTCTGGGATGCTGAGACAAGAGGAGGAGACAGAGGGCGAACGATGCTGCGTATACCCGGCAGTTACGGCCGACAATGGTACAGTGAGAGAGGTAGAGAGAGAGAGAGAGGGAGAAGGGGAAGAGAGAGAGAGAGGTAGAGAGAGAGAGGGGGGAGAAGGGGAAGAGAGAGAGAGGTAGAGCGAGTGTGAGAGAGAGAGGGAGAGGGAGGAAGGGAGACCGACGTAGAGACAGAGTGAGAAAAACAGAGAGAGAAAGTGACAGAGATAGATAGACGGAGAGAGAGGGGGAGAGAGAAAGAGAGAGGTAGACGGAGAGAGAGGAAGAGAAAAGAGCGCACGCGAGAGGAGATTGCCGCTGTTGCTGCCGCTGCCGCTGCCGCTGCCGCTGTTGCTGCCGCTGCCGCTGTTGCTGCCGCTGCCGCTGTTGCTGCCGCTGTTGCTGCCGCTGTTGCTGCTGCTGCCGCTGCTGCGATGTAAACTATAGCAAGCATACATCGAGCTGTCTTTATACGTGATACTGCACCCACCACGCCGTAACGCCGACGGAATATGAATAAGTGGAGAATGATTTAGATTAGACACATATCCGCGGGTACTATAGCGTGTGTAAATTACTCCCTGAGCCAGCCATCCATCCGTCTGCGCGCGCCGTACATCGTCTGCTAGGCGCGTATATATACGTGGTGGTGG